ATCTCATTTTGATTGATTACAACCCAAAAATTGACACCAAAAAATACAATGAGTCAGGAATAACAAATTTTCTCTTAACATTCAATCTAGAGATGCAACATTAGTTTCTATATCCTGCAAATCTTAAGAGTTTGTGATTATAGTATATTAACCATCTCTCAATGCACTAGAAGTAATCGCATATCTATTCAATTTTATAAAACCAAATTTATAAAATAACAACACAGTTTTTATAAACCACAAGTGAAACAAGAATAAGATAGCGTCTAACTTCTATGCATAAAGATAGTTCTCTAATACTAATATCCTCATACTCTCTAATTTCAGATGTAAAACTCCCACTGACTTAGCTACAACCTTGACATCAGGTCAGGTACAAATATATTCCATATCATCGAGGCTTCTGGATTCCTGAAATCCTTACAACAAATTGCAAAAATGTTTAGTGGCTCCAGAATCTATCCATCAGGAATTAATAGATACAACCACATAACATGGCTCAATGATTAAATATATATTTTCCTATGCCACGTCATTTCTTAGACAGTTCGTCCTTTAGTGTCTTCGTTAGCAGCAAAAGAAACAATTTAATTTACCCTCAACATACACTACCTTATTCCCTTTAACCTTTTGGATACCCATGTTTTGTGCTAGCCTAGTCCTATTATCATCCTTCTTCTTTACTTTGCCCTTCCACTTGGGCCTAGAAGAAGATGGTATAGACTAGGTTAGATTAATAGGATCGCCTATACTTTTGATTATTCCTATATCTATTACCAATTCTATAAGAATATCAGCGAGTGAGAACTCAAACTGATTCTTTATTTAGTTCACTCTGGAAAAACCGAACCACTTTGGTAATAAGGCAATAATCATGTCAACTTGAAACTTACCACCCAAGTCAGCCCTATTAATCTCCAGCTAATTTTTAAATAATAAACAATCATTTTCCAAAATTCCATTTCATACTGGAGTTCCTTAGGCTATCTTGATGCTATTCAAGTCTGACATAGTACTTCGGCATACTCTTTATCTAATCTCACCAAAACATCTTATTGACATTTAACATGATGCTTCAAGAAAATAAAATAATGTAAATGATAGCTTTGGAGTGTATTCGAGGTAAACTCTAGAATATTACACCAAGTCATCTCATTTGCCCTATTTCACTTATTCAAAGCATTAATATTCTCTTGGGTATCTTAAAGTAAAAGGATTAGGTTTAGGAGTAATAAATACATTTGTACCCTTACGTTGTGAATAAAATATCTAAGTTCCTTTCCCAGTCAATATTAATAAGGTCCAGTTACATTGAATATGTAAGCAAGCAGATAAACTGAATTAGACATAATTAATCTGAATATAAATGCATTCATATAATATGCAAGGTGAATTATTAATATTGTCATGCATATTTAAAATTAAAATGAGTTTGTTAACCACATAATATAATAAATCTCAATCGAACAAGAGATCATTATCATTATTGGTAAACAATCCCTTTTAATTAATGCGGATCCCTCAACTCTGTAGCATAATAAATCAACCAATCAATATGTCAATAACTTATCCTGTTGGATGAGTTCATTATTACTATTGTAGAGATTCATTTGCTATTAGGTGAGCACTTTCATTAAAATAATAATATGTGAATCCCTTAACCACTGTATGAAAAATTAGATAACCAATACGCCAATAACTTATTCGGTTGGCGAAGTTCATTATTGCTATTGGCGGACAAATCCTATCATTTCCATATCTCTTAAGACAATGCCTTGCCTATCTATATGGAATGATTCCCGATTTAGTTTAGCCTTTCTAAAATCACCTAGTGTAGACTACTCCGTTGGGGAGCTAACACTATTGATTTTAGATTGAGTGTATAATGTTATTAAAGTTCTAATAAAAAATAAAACATTAAATATCTTGTCATTATAATCTAGACTCTTTAAATCATGCGTAGGGCCTTATTTTTAAAGATCTAATTACAATGAACATTTAATATTTTTATTTTCATGAGACAACCATTCTTGTAATATTAAGACTCTTCAAATCATGCGTGGGGCCTTATTTTTGAATATCTAATTACAATAGTTTTAATAACGAAGGCCATGGGGTAATGTATAATAATCCCCGCTCCCACTCAATTTTTTAATCATTCATAATTAGGGTTTTCATTTTATTCAAATACATGATATGATGCATGCTAAACGTCTTGATTTTAATCCAATTAAATTTAGAAAATATTTGGACTTTAAATGATTCACTAATATTTAATTTGAAGCACACTTTAAAAATAATTTACAAAAATAAATTTTCGTTTCCCAATAAATGCCCTCAAATTTATTAGTAATCAAATCCAATTAATTTTCATAATTTAATTAATATAAATCAAGTCATTTAATTAAATATCATGGATCCAATGCATGAATAATAATTAATCAACAATTATCTATCCCATGCATCACATAAATAATCAAACTACAGATAGAAGCAATTTAAATGGCCAATGGATTCAACTTTTAACATTTAATTACTCTAAGTATTGTACAGGCGTCCTCCAACAGCTTGTAAACACCTGTAGGGAGCTGGTACGCGCTTACGGAGACAAAACAGCACTTGGAATGCGCCCGGAGGGCCCCACACGCGCTCACACGTGCCTGGGGCATGCACCAGGTAATGGCACGCCCTCCCACGCGCCCCCACGCACTGGGACGCGCCCCCACGCGCCTCCACGCGCGTGGGCACAATTTCCCTTGGCTGGCACGTGAGATCCACATGCCAGCCCATGTCCACCTCCTGGCGCGTGTTCCACACGCGCCAGGTGCACTTCCTTGCGCCGCATGGGATAACTTCCCATCATCTAAAAGCTCAGATTCCAGTTGCACCATATAATTGTGTTTCGCGAAGCATGTGATCATCAGTCCTTCTATCTCCGGCCAATACCTCGCCGCCGGCAATTTTCCGGTCGCCGGAAAAACGCCGAAAATTCTAGAAAATATTAGAAAAATTCTCAGAAAATTAAATTAAGCCTAAAAAAATTCCAGAAAAATTCGGAAAAATTCCAGAAAATTACTGGAGCATAATTTAACCCTTTCGGACCCTCTTGAAGCTTCATAGCATCCTTTGATGAATATTACATGGCTTTAAAAATATTTACAATTTGAAATACAATGGAAAAAATTAAATTACATCATTGAACTTTCAAACGGCTAAATCAAAGCCTTAATTACATTCATCCAACGATAAAATTACATTCCAATAACCTATAAGCTTCATCCATGGCCCAAACATTCATCAACATTCATCCAATCACAAATATACATACATCATGATCATATAAAAATATATACATATGTATATAAAAATTTGGATCCATGAATGATGATTTTCATAAAATCATGATCTCTAGTAATGAATCAAACCATGCTCTGATACCACTGTTGGGAAACGTGCAATATTTAAAAACTTTTCGAGGGATTTTTATTCATAGATCTTGATTCATCACATAGAGACAAGTTTTATGCAAAAATAAAAATATGATGTATCATTCAATTAATGGATTGAATACTTACAACAAAGGTCTGAGTAAACCTTTAAATCTATCCTCTAAAGTGAATATTCCCATTTATTGTAGATCCCTTAGTAAGATGCCTTTTCCTTGTATCTCCATCTTCTTGGTAATTATTTTGCCTTTAGGAATCACCCATGTGCCTCCATGAATGACCTTGGAAACTAGGCTTGTGGGAGCCTCCATTAGATGAGAACATAAACCCTAATTTTCTAGAGAGAGAAAATATATTCCTTTTTCCTTCTTCTAAAAATCATCCCCAAAATATACATAGACCATGTATATTTATAAGCAATATAAAGGTAAAGAAAAGGAAACAACGAATCCTTCTCAATCTCTAATTTACATGTCTTAAATCTAATATGATTCCAATATCAAGTTGAGCTATGAGTGAGAATCCATTGGGCCTATTATTTTATTGGCTACAATGAATTAATAATTGGCCCGGTCCATGGACCCAATTTAATTAATTCATAAATTAATTTCTACTCCACTAAAAGAAATTAATTGAACTCCAATTAAATAATAAATAACCTCTAAGTCAATATTACACTTTGACCCCTCTATGCATAATTAGTTATCGGATAAATAAAGCCATCAATCCGACTACTTAATTAATATATTTATTTTGGTACCTTTGATTATTTCTGGCTCGATCACAATAAAACATTTGTTTGACAAAAATAATAATTTAAATAAATAAATATATAATAAATCATTTTGTCTAAAAACACACGAAGGCCTTCGAATTTACTTTGTGATCAACCATATTCAATACAAAATAAATACAAGTAGCAATGATGCAAATATTGAAAATATAACCCCCTAACTATTAATTACATAACTACCCAAAGTGTCGGTCTAAGGATCCCGAAGAATCCGCCGAACAAATCAAAGTAATTATTAATTAATAAAAGAGTTTATACTTTTCTCATATTTAAGAGTCAAATGCCATGACGGTGATAGGGAGCAATTGCATACGACGGTATTCGCAATATATCTCAACCTAACGCGGATCCAGTTCAAGTCTTAATTAATTATGAGTCCATCTATAATTACTGACTATGAACAATTTATGATTACTATTTATATATCATGCATTGATTGCCATCACATACATATATATAAATATCTTTTGTAATCAAATGGACGCTATCAATTTTATAATGAATTGAAATATAATACATTGAATTCACCAATTGTATAAAACATAAATATTTCAGAAACGTCAGGAACATATGTCACTTAATCCAAACAGGAATTTGCTATGCTAGGGCATATAAATCCCAACATAGGTCCCAGTCATAATTTCTAGTCTGCCTATCCTCAGTGTTAAAATGCTTTATTATTGTGTAAAATGTAAGAAAAAGGATATAAATATCGCAATTGGAGCTCATTAACACAATCCTCATGAAATTACACACAGATATAGTTGTTAATCTGTCCTTGACCATAGTTTCAAATGTATTTTCTGTATATAATTTTAAGAAGAAAAAAGGACATACACCGTCTCAATGTACATGTAAGAACCTTACCAAGAAAACACACGACCATCAACCAATTTTCTCAAAGGCTGAGAACTAAATAACCAATTGTAAAGCATTCTATCTTGGCGATGCTTCACTCCCATCTTTCTTCAAAATAGAGCATAAAACCTGCCTCGAAATATAAGTTTCAAGCTCCCTGGAGACCTCTGTCAACTTTAAATCGAAATTGCTTTTATACTTGTTCTTTGGTGATGCCACAGAACATGTTGAGAACATTCTCGGAGAACTGGAAAAGCGTCTTCTTGGGCTTGAACATCGTCCTGGTGACCCTGGAACCCCCCTTGCTTTACAAATGAGAGGTGTCAAGCCCGATCCCATACCTGCCACATTTCTATCTTGGTTAATTAGTGGCCCGCGTTTTGTCTCCAATGGAAGTGGCTTCAGTGAATCACTTTCCGTCACTGGCTTCTGTTTCATGATCCTTTCTCTGGCCTTCTGAGCTTGCATTAGAGCCTTCTCTCTGCTCATATTTATAAGTTTCCATGGGTCTATGCTTGCATGGAGGCCTTGCTTCTTGCTCGAGCTGGAAGGATCAGGTTCTCCATCAATTCTAATGGACAATCTTGGCGGGTTCTGAAAATTACCAGCAACTATCAAGTAAGCTAGTGATAAAGGTACACGGTAAGGTTGAAAAACACTAGGCAGGTTGTTGAAACTAAATACCTGATTTATCCTATGTTCTCTGCATATAAACCGAGAGACAAATGTCGGCTTTTCAGGAGAATCAGAGTCGATGCTCTCATCTGAAGAGAGATCTGAAGAGAAATCTGAATATTCAAATGGTTCTAGCTCCACAGACCGGTTCTCCTCTTTCATTGCCAAGATGTAATCATATGTTCTCATTCCCTGCAGCAACAATCAGGCATGTGTAAATTGTTAGCTCCTTCCCGCAATCAGAGTTGTGGTAGTGGAAGGAAGATGAGGGCATTATTGTTCATAATAGAAGCAAAGAAAAACTAGACCGTATAGTTTCTATTAATCTCAAAGCTAAGCTTTTGGAGTTATCTACTCAATATAAAACAAATTTGTGAAAGTGAAACTCTAGCAAATTATGTTTGCAAATATAAATGATGTAAGACCCTATTTTGCAGCTAGGTCTAAGTTCATTCAGTTTCATTAGATGGGATTAAGTTGTACAAACAAGCGTGAGGAGACGATATGTGAGATCCTGAGACGTGGTTGAGCCATTGTAGAAGTTGCAGCAAATGACTTCTTCACTGATTATCAGTGGGGCAATTTCAATAATTACTCATAGAAAATTATACCCATTGATCGCAAGGACATCATTTTAATAGTCATAAGACCAAACATACACTGGGAGTTACCAGACCTCAGCAAACACACAAATGATGTTGGAAGTCATCTTTGCATTATAGCCATAAATAATACCTTTCGGATGAGAACAACATGAAAGAAGAAAAGTTGTCCCAGTGCTGCTGAACCATACGCCGTCATTAAAAACAACAAAACCTGTTATGTATTGACAACTAAAAATCAGTTGTGAAGAGAATATATGTTTAAAATGGTGTCAAGTGAACAACGAGAGCAGGAAAAGAATGGAAAATGTTACAGATATCACTGCAAGAACTCCTCTTGGGAACTCAACATAGAGCTTCGTCTCCAGCTCTTGCTCTATCCCTCTTTTATCTGCAAAGCACCGAATAAATATAGCAACAGCAGTTCCTCCTTCAATTGTAAGCTGCACTACTAACAATTTGATTAGCATAAGAAACATCTAAAACTCGTTAAGTTGTTTAACACTACTTATTAAGTACTTGATGTTAAATAAATAGAAGTGCAAATCTTTAACTGACCATTAACAAAACAAAAATCATTAGAAGGAAGAATGTTGTGTAATTCTTTTTCCCAACGCAGTTGTTTAGCCACTGTAAGATGCAAAGACATACATATGGCACTGTTATAACATGGTAGAACATTTTCACAAATTAAATAAATATAGGTTAGTGTTTGACCAAAAAAAAAAAAAAAATCCCTGCTTCTTACCCTGCAGTGGTGATCAAACCCTTCAACACAACGGTTGCAGGTCCTGCAGTGCTTGCTGTGTTTTTTTACCTGCAAATGGATAAATGTTCTATCAAAATAGCAAATGATGGAGAACAAAATATACTACTACTGTGAGGTAACCTGCACAATTCTTACTTAAACAAGCACTTCCTCACTAACAGAATGATGATGGAATTATCTCTCATTTCATTTTTATCAATTTATTTCTGGTTCAAATTTATCCATCTATATTCCCTCTTTCTAAATCTGATTTAAATCCAGAAGCTTTACTCCCAAAATGCATCATTACAGACGCACAACCAACCTCGAAATCGCAAAGTGCACAATACGAAATGTCATCCTCTTTCGGGTGAGGTGCGACAGAATCATCATCCTTCATGACAAGAGGAAATGGAAGCAAGGGCTCCATTTGAGCATGGGTTTTCAAAGGATCCAGGTACTTCCTCCTTATACAAGTGGTAAGGATCTTGCGCTCCAATCTCCTGAAAAACCTCATAACAATCTGACCTAAAATAAACCCATAATTTAGCTTTGGGAACCCATTAGATTTGATTTTTCTCTTCTTCTTTCTAAAACTTGTTTTGTCAGTTGGGTCGGTGGCGGTGCATCTAACAAACAGAAACATAACTGCAAGTGCCTGAAAATTATTAGTTTGAGAATGAGTATTATTGACTAGAGATTTGACGAAGAAAGAAGAGATAGTAGTGAATGAATGTGATGGTTGAAACTTTCATTGTTGAGAGTGATTACCACAAAGGAGAAGATTGTGGTGACGGTGATCTCGGCAGTTGTGTTTCCAAGAAAAAGTCCCAAGAAGCAATAGAAGGACGTGACCAGGAAACTGTATATTGCCATTGCCACCATCTGCGCGCACCAGATATCATACATACATACAAATGATGAAAGATATTACATTAAAATGATTTCATCTCACATTGAAAAACAAAGAGGGGAAAAATTAAGATTTCCAATTTGAATACCAAATATTCTAAGGTTTCATCATCATCACGAAAGAAATCATCAACAAATTAATTAATGAGGCAACCTAATTTCAAAACCCTAATCATTCAACAAAGGGTGAATTTCGATTGGGGTATATATAAGAAATCAATGAACTTAAACATATATCAGCAAAAAAGACATATATAGCAATAAATTGAATACTAATATGTGATGGATAGAGGGAAAAGTGTACCTGCAAAGGGTGGAGAGGGCGTTGCCAACCATGGCGTCTCATTATCTTCTCAACAAAGTGATTGTTCTTTTTGTTGGGGAAAATTTGTTAGCTTTTTCTTCAATCGAAATACAAAAACAAAGAAAGTGATTTGAATGATGAAGAACAAAATATACTACTACTAGCTGGAGCCTGGAGTGTAGTTTAGCTTTCAGATTTAGCTCAAAATGAGGAGACCCACGCACCCCTAACCCCACCACACCAACGGTCGGCTGGCTTCTTTCTTTAGTGATTTTTTATTTGAAATTCGAATGAGCTTCCTTCGCACGAGATCCATCCGTTCATCTAGTAAACGATGATCTGACGGTTATGATCGACTGTGGAAATCTCAATCGGTGAGGAGCACCATTATTGTAGGGCTGGACTTGGACGAGTCAAGCTTATAGAGAAACCCAAGGCCAACTTGAAGCCCAACTTGAGAAGGTGGTGTGGTGTACTTATAAATATTTTGTATTTTAGAATTTAGAATTCAAATTTCAGAATCCAAACTCATTTTGGATTAAGCCAATCAAGGTTCCTCTAGCTCCACCAACTTGAGAAATTTTTTGTTTAAGGCTATATGATACGTATTTATATGCGACTAGTAAAAGAGATCAAAATTTTATTTTAATTAAAAATATTGTATATTGTATAAAATTATCAAAATATATTTTATTTTATAAATAATTAATTAGTAATTTTTTTGAGTAATTGAAATTTTAAATATTTATGAAGCTAAGTGCTTTGTCTTTTGCACATTCATTAGTAACAAACCCGAATCTAAGAGTAAAGTTTACGGTGTGACATTCTTAACTATGATATAACTAGTAATTTTAGACAAATGTATAAAATTTATATTTTCTAAAAATTACTCTAACTAAACGTATAAAATAGTTCAAATATTTAGCGGGAGAATGATATAAGTTTTTTAATATTATACATTTCATTCTCTAATTAAATTTTCTTTTATTGAATTAAATAAATAAGTTTCTTAATAGTATATACTAACATAAGTTATTGGGAGGACAATTGCACTGGACTCTTAAATGAAATAACACATCTATCCCTAATTTTGTAAATAAATCATTATTTTTTTCAAACATCACAATTACCCTTACGGTTAGAGAAAAATATATTTGTCACTCTCTCCCCCCAATTTAATGATTTGGGTCACTTATAGCCTTTCTCAATTCTTTCTCTACTTTTATTAATTATCTTCTCTCTCTCTCATTAGAGTTTAATATTGATCTTTGTATGGAACAATGGAAGATTAGCACAGAAAGCATGTAAGAACTATCAAAACTTCATGAGCCATTCAACACAATCGATGCTAATATTTATGGTATATATATATATTTTTTGTATTGTGTGTTTTGAGTTTAATTTGAAAAAAATTCTTCGTGTTATTTTTAATAATTAATTTGGAATGTATTTAAATCTTGGAGTTTTTCTAGTTGATGAGAAAAACCATAATTGTTTTGACAATAAAGTTTCAAGAACTGAGATTTTAAAAGAGAGAGAGAAATGAGTATTAAATACAATTATGCTTGCTTTTTTGACGTGATATTTAAGCTTTTGTAGCTCTAATCAAGTATTTGTATCCTTATTATTTTTGCTTCTACTTCTCTTAAATTCAATTGAAACATAATTCTTAATTTAACTCTACTTCTCTTAAATTCAATTGAAACATAATTCTTAATTTAACTCTGTCAAAACTTACATCCATATAACTCACCTTTCAAATATTTCTTCTTCTTCTTCTCTTTTTTTTTTTTTTTTTTTTTTTTTTTTTTGGGGTACAAATTTTTTTTTTTTTTTTATAATATTAATTACAGACAACAAAAAAATAAACGAAAAAATCATTCATGAGTTCTTTAAGAAAAGTATTGAATAGAGAGAAGAATGTTTAGCAAAAATGATATTGTATAGAGAAATAACTGAAATAGAAAGAAATATGGTGAAGAAGATTACGATGAAAGGGTAATTTTATCTAAAATTAGTTAGTGCATTTAATATGCAAAGTAAAAATAAAAGTGGAGTGCAAACATAAAAAAGTGGAGTGCGAACATCGCCTCCCAAGTTTTTTAATATTATATATTAACATAAAAATTTTAATATTATATATTAACATGTTTACTTATGTAATAAATAAGTTTTTTAATATTATTTATTAATGTGTTTCCTTCTATAATGAAATTTTTTTAATATTATATATTTTCTTTTTTAATTATATTTCATTGATTGAATTTTAGTATTTTCTACTACCTATATTATTATTAACTAAATAAATAAGGTTTTTAATATTATATATTTCCTTCTCTAATTTTATTTCCTTTTCATTGAATTAATTAATTTTTTTTTAATATTATATATTAATGATAAGTTTTTAAATATTATGTATTTCCTTCTCTAATTAGATTTTAATTTATTGAATTAAATAAATAAATTTTTAATATTTTATATTAATGTACTGAAATCCTTTGTATTGAAATAAATAAGTTTTTAATATTTTAATATTGTATATTTCCTTCTCTGTTTAGCTTTCCTTTTAATGTGTTTCGTTCATTTTCTTTTAACTTATATATTTCGTTCTATAATTAATTTTGAAACACTTTGTAATTTATTGGGGAACAATGCTTGTCTTCGGCCACATAGGCAGGAATTCCTTGCTTTTGCTTACGTGGATCGCTTATAACTTGACACTTGTCAAAAAAAATTAAAAAAATTAAGAACATCTCCAAACGTTTTGAATATTTTTTTGTTTAAATCTGATGTATCATAATAGATTTACACAAAAAAATTTGGATTATTTATTTTTAGCTCCAGCGGTTATTCTATATCTTTTAAATAAAAATATATCCTCCAATAACAACCAATCACTATCATGCCTTTATCCCACATAATTTTACAAATTTACTTAATATAGGGTTGATTCGTTAATGGAATGAGAAAAATGGTAGAGAAAGAAAATATATTGATGTGTCTATGTAAAAAGATTGTTTAAAATACACAACAATTTTACACATTGGGAACGTGCAGTGTATCTGAGATAACCTAAGTTTTTCAACCCAGTGCGTCAGTGATGAAACGAATGAATGACCCAATAACGGATCTGAAATGCAGAAGCAAAAGATAAATCCAAAGTCTATAGAGATGCAAACCATCCCCAAGACACCAATGTGACCTTCCATGAAGTCACGAAGCTCAAGAAAATAGCCAGAAGCGAAAACTAACATGAAAAGAGTCAAATGGTACCCTATGGCACCAATGACAACCAAAGGGACAAAATCTAGTTCAAACTAAACTAAGAACACCACTAAATGGATTACACAAGATTAACAAAATCTAGTAGGAAGGAATGAAACGATAAAGGCCTGAAGAAACAATCAACCAAACAAAACCTACAAACCGAAATGGAGCTTCGGTCTGCCGAAATGAGCCAGGAAAAAGAAGGAAAAGAGCCTTCATTTCGGTCGACCGAAATGACAAACCGATCGACCGGTTTGTGGCTCGAAACTGAAAAAGGCTACTGGAATTGGACTTTTACTGTTCAATTGAAATTCAAAGGCCATCGGTCAACCGAAACAAGCTACCGGTCGACCGAAATAGGTTGAAAATGCAAAAATGAACCTGTTATGCACCAAAAATGAAAAGAAGTCCCTAAGGCTCAATTGGATCCCCCATTGCATGATCAAATTGAATTGTATGCAAGTGTGTGATGATGTGAACATACACACAAGTGTAAAATAACATTTTAAACATGCTGAAATGGCCTATGGCCTTATTACAATTCATTTACAACATTTGACATGTCAAACCTCCAAGTTAGAAAAATTACATTTCATAGGCAAAACTTAAACATGCTAAAACTTGCATGTGAACAAGAATGCTTCTTGTTGGCCTAAGGATTTTATCTAAAGGTCAATCTTATGTTTTGATGATTACAAACCATTAATGATGTTTAAGTACTAATGTTTTCATTGAGTGATATATAGTTGATCAACATTCAATCCTCAATGATGAGCTAGAAGATCCATTCCAAGCATTCAAAATATTCAAGCAATGGATTCAAGGAAGCATCAAAGTGCAAGAAATTAAAGAAGAACTTGGACTTCAAAGATCACACAAAGCATTTCAAGGAAAGAAAGAAAGTCTTCATCAAGCCCAAACGATTACGGTCAAAGAATGAAGAAAAACGTAGATAGGATGGTGAGAGCTTAAGATTCAATGTCAAAGTCTTTATGAATTCATTTGAAGCTCATCTCTTTTGGACCATGCATATCATACATCATTTATATGCTCTTATATCATTAGCATTAGACTATGAACTTCAATACATATATATTGTCATATGAAATCTTTACTAAGAAAGAGTTAGTTCAAGTTTGATAAGCTTTGAAAGAACTCATTTTTTAAGCTAGAAATTCTAGGACCATGCACATTAATCATTATATTTATTTTGGTCTCTAAAAAGAAAAGGAAAAGGCATTGAATTAATTTTTCATCTTTAAAGCCTTTGTTGCCAAAATTTGGTAAATAACTCTAGGACACAATACACTTGAAATTTATCATCTTCATATGTCCCTAGACTCTTAGAAATAGGCCTTGAACTTAATTGAATCATTCATCAAAGTCCTAGGTGCTAGAAAGATGGATATCTCAAAAGAAGCTATTTTCAGCCTAGAAAATTTTAGACCAGCTTGCACTAAAACTGCTATAACTATTTGTGCAGTTGGAATTTTTACACAAGGCCAGTGGCATTGGAAAGCTAACTTCGAGCCCTTGAGTTTAGACTCAAATTTAACCTAAATTGGATTAAAAATGACTGAGATATGAGCTTCACAAATACCTGATTCTGCTCTGCGAAAATTCTGACCAGGTTGCACTTAAACAGCCATAACTTTTTCTATGGTTGGAATTTTTGAGCAAGGCCAGTGCCTTTTGATAGCTGACTTCAAGACAATAAATTTAGACTCAAATTTCACCTCATTTGGAGTTTCATAGACTGAGTTATGTCCATTTGAAGTCATGCATTTTTTTCTGTCCAATTTAGCAGCAGCCTTCATAAAGCAAGAGCAGCCTCTATAAGAAATAGAGCCAGCTCTCTCAAAGACTAGAGAAGGCTCTAAAAAATTAGAGACGGCTCAGGAAAGTAGAGAAGGCTCAATGAAAAACTAGAGAGGGCTCTACCAAAATTAGAGAAGGCTAAGGAAAGTAGAGAAGGCTCTACAA